TTAAGAAAGGTGTATTGAGGTGTTTGTTTTACTGCAAAACGAACCAAATGATATGATGCATTGCAGGGCTATGTAGGTACCTATTTGGGAAGATAGTTGTCAAAGGCCGAGTTCATACTCATGCAGTAGACGATTTTTTTCCGTTCACTGTGGGGTCGAAAGGCGCGAATCGAACGTCTGCCGCAAAAGTCGAACGATTTGATTTTCAAATTGAATTTCTTTTTTTATTGCTCTACGTCGAAATGTCGAGGAGAATATTGCATTGAGACCCTAACTTCATCAAAATTGGCAATCGTCAAATGCGCAAAGCGGGTCACTTCCGGTTTTGTCATTGCGTAATTTATTTAACATCCATAACATGCAAATTACTTACGACTGAATATGAAATGTTGCTATACCACGTGATACTTGTAAATCTGTCCGGGTTCATACAATTACCAACTGATAGGCTGTATTAGTATTACTCGTACTTGCTGACCTTAAATGACCTCTTCTCAGGTAAATAATGAGTTAATCCCAGTAAGGCAAGGAAAAAAATGAGCATTTGTGCAGAACGGAGGATGTCGAGATTACTAGTACCATGTTTGGACATAATGTGTTTGAATTTATCATCGAGAAATACGAAACTTTGTTTTAAAATTCGATCTCTTAATTATTTAAATCATTTTCACAATTGCTCACTAGATTCTAGCTCCATGCACCCCAATGGACACAGATGTCTACCCCGAAACATGTGGGATGGTCTTTACGAATTTATATTATCACAGGAATTCAAATATGTCCTCCTGTATTGCCACGAATGCATGCATACATCACCTGGTAAAAGATAAACTATGTTTGTGCATTTTTCAGAAAAGCAACAAAATATACATCTGCCAGAAAATCCAAAATAGCCACTCCAGAGTAATGTGGTATATCAAACAATGAAGCACCATAGTCAGACTGATTAATTCCCAGGACTGACTGGACTCCCTTTAATAAAACTGTCATTACGCATGCGTCCAATTCGTAACCATGCTCCGAAAATGTAGCAAACTATGCTGACACGTGACCCAGGTAACCGAACCAGGTATTTAAGGAAGCGGGTCAAATTACTTTCATACTTGTGTGCTGTTATAGATGACGCCAGGTGGAAAACGAGCACAATTATGCGTCCAAGCCCGTCTTTATAGAAGCACACTCGACTCAATAGGCTTAGTAGCGAAGGGTGACGCGAACAATGCATCTGAAACGTCGCCATAATGAACATCTCATCGTCGGTCAACCGTGAATTTGTTTGGTCGTAAAACTCACATCAACTATAATAAACCGATCTGAAATCTATACTTTAAAAACAGCGGGATATAGCCTCGTACAATTGTCTGCATATTGTCTTCACCGAGTTTCCAGATCAATAAAAAATACATGTAACTGAATAAAAGGGAAATTGTGTACAGGACAATGACCGACATGTCGGTATTGTAGTTTGCTGTGAATGGTCAGTTGTAATCTTTACACATCATCGCTGTTTCAGGTGTTTACGTAAAGTGGCTCATGACGTCAACTTATGCGTTGAAAACAACGAAATTACGAGCTAGCAGCGTAGTTGAATAATTGATTGATATTTCATCAATGCATTTCCTATATGATATTTTTTAAGTGATAGTGAAGCAGATTTTGTGAATTTCTGTAATTACAAATTAAACGGGAGTAACCAACCTTGTTTCAAAATTAAGTGAAACTCCAAAGCTGTATTCACTCACGTGGTATTTTTGTCAGAGTAAGTCTTCAAACCCGACATTTTGGTTTCAACCTCGTTCGTAGCATTTAATTTGTTATAAACTAATGTAATTCTCAAACTATCCGCCATACCACGACTGAGCAGATGACAGATGTAAAATAACGTCGAATTCAGAAACATCTAGAAAATCTTCATTCCAAATGGGGGTATGCTCACTCGGAGAAAATTTCACGTTTGTGCTGTCGCCTACTTGGCTGCTAAAAACAGGCGTTTCTTGCCTGTCATTACAATCATAGCAAGTACACACGATATCACCGTGACACTGAATAAAAAACTGACAAGTAACAATTTTATTACATGTCGTCAGAGTGACGACAACATGATCTTTAAAACTGTCTCAGGTAGGAATACAATGAATACCCGAAGTGACAGGAAATCCGGTACTCGACCATTCAGCAAATCATCATTGTACGAGTACTCCCCCGGTGTATCACGTGATCATCGCCGAACAGACGAACCACAAAACATGATTGACTCATATCCGTTTTAAGGTTTAATCAAAATGACGATTGCCATATATGATAAAAACATCTTGGGTACGAAAAAAAAAAAGAAGTTATCGACGTGCCTACACATATATATACCCCAGGCACTAGAGGTTTTAATGTTCCGCCCGCCCGGTGGGAAAGTGCTACACAATTACATATATACTACTAACCGTCCAGTAAAACATGTGAACAACCATATCATACATTTTGCCAAAACTGCATACTAATTAACTGATTAGCATATTAACTAATCATGTATGTACAAATCTGAAGGCCTAATTTCAATTTCAGGAGTTGGGCGTGTGAGCGATATGACCTTGACAATGTCCGACATGGTACTTTTGTGAAAGTTCTTTTTGTCAATCTCGTTAAAAATAACCATAAATAGACAAAAATAGATAACAATGAATAAAATATGGAAATTTAAAAAAATCGTATTTCAATCAGATTGAACGTAAGTCGAACACACTGACTATTTATAAAAAAGATAGGTTGCACGCAGAATAGTAGTATTTTAAAGAAATAATGCGCGCTCATTTGCGTGTATGACGTCAGATAATAGATCGCCAAAATAAGGTCAATAACATACCGATAAAATTGCAACAGTTTCAAAGCGATCATCATAAGCGATGACCAACGCTATTTCCCGGCATTCCACGCGATAACCCGCAACGTACAGAAAGCTATCAACATAATTGAAACACATTGTTACTCTTTCAGACTAATTGCTCCTTTGAACTGAGAACAAATATGTTAAAAACAGTGTTGTGTTTCTGTTATATGTGGATTCGTGGGTTGTTATTTTGTGTTCTCGTAAACCTACTTAGTATGCGGAAGAGCTCTCAAAAACCACGGACTAAAATGACTCCTGGATTAGCGCAATAGCAGTGACGTATTGTTTTCAACACAACAAAAAATGGACTTCGCCGTAGGTGGCAATTTACTATAATAACAAACATCGAATCAGAATGAAAATTCTTCTTACAAGTGTGACCGTGTGTGTGATAAATATGAGTCTCTCGGACAATCTACATTCTTCGTCTTCATCTTTGCTATCTTTGAAATCTTTGGATGCTGGCTAATGATATTTATTCGTTTTAGTTTCATTTTACACGTTTTTATTAGTATATCTGGGTTAGTAGTTTATGACAACATTCGGGTTGACACGTACACACATGCGCCACGCCAACAGATTTGGATGTACAGGTATAGCGCTAACAAATTAAAATCGCACACAGCACATTGCAAGATGGCAAGTACGAGCAAAGGTAACTTTAAAATTCTTGATCTAGAGGTGAATCCTCATTTTCCTACAATTTGGAATTATTTGTACAAGAAGAAAACGGTATAAAAATATGAATAACATCATATGTTACTTCCCTACGTTAAAGTAATGACCCGTCTCTTATAACAGTGTTTTAAACAAGAGCTACGAATGACAATGTAAATATTATTGACCGAGACTCCATTATACAATATAGACATGGCGTGCATTCCTCCTCGTCCCTAAATTGATTTATGAGTTTTTTAGTTTGTCAGCGTCATGAATGCCACCTGGCTCGGTTGTCATTTTCACCCCCGTTGTCACTCGTGTCGCTTTTCCCTATTCCCAAATGTATCGAAAAGTTTGATTTTGGAATATTATAAAGTTCTAAGAAATGGTTTTTTTTATCTGTAATGTTCTTGTTTTTAAATGAGGTAATTCTCACCCGTTTCAGAGAAAACATATCTATCTGGAGTTTATTTACGTTAACATGAGGGGGCATGTACCTCGTTGACATTTTCGATAATTTTCAATTTGTCGATTAATTTAATCTAGCGATGCATGTTCACAAATTAGTTAAAAGCTTTTCGTAAAATTCCAAGGTACGTAATTTGGAATATATTCTTAATATATATTCTTAAAGCAGTGTGAAATAAAACGAAGTGCAACGATTATAAAACACCATGGACCCATAGCGATAGGACCAGACATTTTGGTGCCCGATTCATGAGATAAACGAGACAAATATATACCTCCATGGTCCAAACATACACCACAAAACAAACCTAAATTGGTGTAAACTGAGTGTTGGTACAGTAGAAAAAAACAACAACATTCCTGGATTGCCAAGATGTGTAACAACGTTGCCCCAACCAACTCCGTGATCACCAATAAGTGAAGTCTATCGCACTCCACACAGAACAAAAAACAATGCAATGTCATCACGCAGACTTGTGTGAAATCCAAACCCCGGTGTTTACTGGGACCTTTTGTAAGTGGGTTGAAACCCAAACACCTCGATGTTTACTAAAGGTATACATTTCAAGAGAACTCCAAAATGGCTGAAAAAATATCCCTACTCAGACAGTGGATCATAAACCCCTACAACCTCCTTTACCGCGAAAGAAATCACGCACGCGCAAGCTCGCTGGCATAGGTCAGGACCAAAGTGAGATTCTTTGATATTCCAGTAATAACGAGGGTGACATACGGCTATGAACTTCTGTATTCATGTGTCGGCTCACGCCCATAAATGTTAAAAAGCACCGGGGCTCGTATTTCCCGTACATATTATATATACATGTATACATATAGACCATACCTCCATGTATAGACGGACGAGTTGCCAACTCGAAAGAGTTAAAACACGCTGTGAATTTTGGTGTACAAATGAACCTATGCGTGGAGAGAACTCGAATTTTTTTCGAGTATTGGGAATCTTATCTAACTTAAAAAATCACAATCTTACCGTTTCCTGCTGCCTTTCGAGCTGTGCCTGTTGATATCGTAGCACGCTCCATGACGTTGACCGCGATGGCGATTTCGATCGTTCGCCGTGTCCGAGGCACGGCGTTGCAGGTCGACTGATCCCCGGAGTCGTCGGCCGTACGGGGATGTCTCGGTCCGTGACTTCGTCGTCGTCCACGATCAGTCCGCCAGGTATCGGCACAATCCTCCCGTGGATACGATTTAACATTCCTTGGGGAGACATCTCAATCCCGGAATCCCCGTTAACGCTATTAGCAGGTGTCGACTCTCCGGACATCTTGTTACAGCAATATACAAAGTAATTTTTCGCGTATTTTTAAATGCCAGAGAATAACTCGGCTAGAAACTGTTACAGCCGCAGGCAAAGTATAGGACCTTTGGCCGACTAGGTCACTCGCTTAAAAGTCTCCATTTAAAAACAAATGTCAGCATCTAAATTTCCATTGAGCACACTTCCAATTCAGCGTCGAATTCTTGTAACATTTGTCGATATCCGCAGCCCAGCTCACATGCCGGCGAATCATGAAACGGCAGACATTGTTGCTATAATGACCAGTTTTCCTTTACTTTGTAGTGGTACTTCACACATGTATAAAATCCTGTACCTCAACGCAGTGTATTAAAATCACGTACCACGGTATAATGAATACAGAGCCATAGCCAATAAAACACACGCTGTTGTCCGGCGTACCTGTCCTGGCGTGTCGGGCAGTGTGAAACGCTTCGCTGCGTTAAACCGTTACTTTGAGACTAAGACTGTGATCTCCGACGAAAAACACCGGAAGAAAGAACTTCGCGGACATAAAAGTTCCGTCCATACCCCTATTAAAAAAAATTTACGTCGTCCGCGTCAATGAAATGTGAGCCAACTGATACCAATGTTACCGAACCCCCTAGCTTCACTATCGCGATGATTCATTCACAAATGTAAATATAATTTTTTTTTTGAAAAGTAGAAATATTTGTACTAACATTGAACATTACCACCCTATAGTAGAGACTTACCTCCCGAATAAGAAGTACGAACGGTTAAAATAAGTTGGAATAAAGTAAAACTGACAACTGTGTAATTATTGGTCTCTTCGCTGCGGCTCACCTGAATGCGAACCTTTGGTATTTTACGACGCTAGGGGGTCATGGGCTAGTTAATAAATATCCAAAGGACGCTCTGTTGCATTATGGGTGCAAAATAAACAGCTTGGCACACATTGTGAAAATTAAGTTTTGGTTTGCGAGCGATCTTCGTAATTAAGTTTCTTTATTCCATTATTCAGTTGCTGACTGACAATCAGATTAGATAATTAGTGGAAAGCAAAAGAAAATAATTTGTTAAATTGTTGGAAGGCGTCCAGTAAATTAAATCGCCGAAGGGCCTGCGCAAATTTTTAAACAGTCCAAATGAAAAACAATACCTGGATGGGACACGACATTGACCCCCTCCCACAAAAAAAACAACAACAACACCACGTACCTGTGAATAAAAATCAGAACAACTAAACTATTATAATACTGTGACGAATGAAATGAGACTAACACTGTGCCTAAAATGGCGCTAAAACGTATTAGTTCAAGTCAACCATTCAATCCCTAAATCTAAGACCAAATAACTCGACTCTTCAATTTTGCGCACACATTGGAGATAACAAGAGGCTCCACACACTCACATACTGATGTAAATGTTCTTTTATAATCGGAGCCGTTCATCCGAAAACTGTCAATATTGAGTTGCTTGCTCAAATTACGTACGTAGTGCCGGTTTACGAATCTTTGACCAAAAAAAGTGCCTTAAGTTTGTATTCAGAGAAAAACTACAGAAAATTTGACAAAGTTTGTGCCATATTTATATAATGGCGGACAATGCACGCGTTTGTGTCACAGTTCAGTGACCATACCATTCACACAGACAGACCGATACTATAAAAGTGCTGTCACATAAACTATGGCTGGCAACATACCGTGGTCGGTTCCATAATCATAAGACCATTCACGACGACACGTAAACATAGTATTACGAATCCTACTTCATGCACGTGGTTTTTGAAGTGAACATAATATCCCCCCTATTTGATGTGACATTTTATATGTGTCACTCTGTATTATTTATGAATTTTGGTTTGTCACTGACTTCATACATTTTCTAAGCGCTATAGGGAACATAGAATCGAAATTAACACACATGTAAAAGTTGAACGTTTTTTTTCGGAAAGCAGCTTTAGGACAGTCATCAGAGGGCGTTCTTCAAGTTGACAGACGAGTATGCCTACAGTACAGGTATTAATTCACGGGTTTGCTATCACATGCTTCTTCAAACTTGGTCGACTATAAACGATCTTCACCGATTAACAAATATAGGTCGAACAAATTCGTGCCAAATAGACAATGTGATCTCTCTCACACAGAGATACATGAAAAACGTAGTACCCCAATGGAGTTGTAACTTAGGGGTCGGGCATTTGAAATCACAATAACAGGGGTGGCTGCAAGATGCATTGAAAGCTGGGTGGCGAGTGAAAAAAAGGCTAGCAAGGTGTTGCACAAAGAAAAACAGTTGGCACATTCAAGAAAATGAAAAATGAACACCGTGAAAAATGTGCAAACCTGATGATTGAGTGAGGGCGCTGTTACGGTGGTTGAGAGGCGAATAAATGGATACATAATCGCTTCGCAAAGCCTTTGATTCACGGAAGCTATATTCACTTAAAATCCCCACACTTTTGCGTTAAATAATGTTAGTTTACAATCATCTCGGCTAAGACGCATTGTGAAAGTTGACATTAAACGAAAATTGTCAAAACTATTACTATGAACGAAAGAGAAAACTCGACCAGCAGTGTAGTATAATAACAAAGTAATACTACCATTACAAACTATGACATTCGAACTATCAATATTGCTATTTGTTTGTAAAACGTTGAGAAATACTGCTAACTGAGTTGTTTTTTCGTTTACAGTAACTGAAAATCTCAGACTCGGAGCTCTCAAACTGTCGTCGCTCAAACTTTAAAATAATTACAATTAGCATTAGAAACCGAGATCTTTATTTTGGCATACCCATTCATAGTCCAGTTGGCGTAGCTCGTTTAGGCGGTAGTCTTTTGTATTTGTAGCCTTATTCAGTGGCGGATGCTCGAAAGGGGGCAGAGGGACGATCGTCTCCTCGAAAAAAAATGTTGGGGGCGACGCCCCTCCAAAATCAAGCTGAAACCTTTTGGGTCTGCACAATTTGCCCCTCAAAATGCAGGAAATACCGTTTCAGAAAGTCTAGATTTCAACATTTTTAAGAGGGACCATGCCCCCGGACCCCATGGAAAGGTCGCGACTTCGGCGCAAGGTTGGTGAGCAGATCTCGCCCCTTTATGCACAATTTCGTGTCGCAGCCTTTGCTATTACTAACTTCATTATTTCCCAATCGACAAAATTGCGATGATCTTATATAGCGCCACCAGCCTTGATTTGAAACAAATTTATAAGAGAAAACCTACAAAGTTTCTGTATGTTAGGTATGCAGGTTTATTTTTGTTGATGACTGATTACTCTATTTTGAATATTTCGAATACGGTGTACAGTCGGAAGGGACATCGACGTAAAAATTACGGTCCCTCGTGCTGTTCCTATGCTCAGTACACCTAAACAATCAGAACATCCTAGGCATAGCGAGTAGCTGATTACCGAGAGCTCAGACTAGTAATACAATGTATTACTAGTCTGAGCCGAGAGAGACCGAAAGAAGCTCATTTAAAACTGACTCAGTCATACTTCCAATTTTGCAGTTACGCATCAGAGATATGGGGGTTCAAATATTGCGGTTCAATTAAACGTGTTCAAAGAAAATGGCGTAGACCGCTACTTGGTGCACCTATTCACAAGGCGAACGAGGCTGTGTCAGGTGAATGTAGTCGACTTACCATTGTTATCCACACTTTGAAGCGCGTCTGGATACTAAGGTTGCTTGAGATGTCCCTTTGAAAAATACAGAAACAAGCCTATTTTATGTAGCGCAATTTGGCAAAGCAACATGTTGAATTGTTCGGGAAATTAGCAAATATAGAATACTTTTATCTCATTTTATTAAAAAAAGTTTCAGACATTTGAAAACAAGAATTGATGATCAGTTGTAAAGAGTTAATCGCACAAATGTTCATATGTCCTGTAAATAAAACCCAAGTTAAGTATGTATTTATGCTTTAGGGGTTTACTTGAGCCAGAAAAATGTTGGCTTTCAACATATAACTACTCTTGTATTCAAATGTTTGCTTATTTTCGCTGATATTCACTTCTATTTAAACTGTTACTGGGAACTTGAAGACGATCTGGAATTCAATTCGTACCACGGTACACTGCAAAGTTTGTCAAACTAGAGACATAGAAGACAATTTCACTTTCCTTTAGTCTGCCCAACTCATTGTAACCGTAGAAGGAATTTGTACATTTCACCTCCAAACACTTTGAATAGCATACGCCTTTTAAGAACTTTATACAATTTTCAACAATGATCCACTCATGCCGCAGTTGCTGACGTTGGTAACTGTCTTGTCAATTTCGAAAGCGCCCTCTATCATACTATTTACCCAGTTGCCAGATTTAAATTAGAAACATATACAGTGACATATATAACCCGGCGTAAATGGTGATTTGATGTTTGATATGTCCAGGTTAATTCGACGAGGGAGTGAATTGAGTGGGATCTCAATTCGGGTATAAATTGTGCATGATGTGTTGGCTGTCATGCCATCATCCTCACTGAATCGAAACTTCAACTTGAATTTCTCGGTTTAGATATACAGTACTCCACTTCTCACGGTAGGAGGCTGGACCGACAAGCACGTTTGTGTTGTTGATTCATTTAAACTACTCTGGCTGCCAATAACAACGCAATGAATATTAAATTAAACAACGAGCACAACCCCCCCCCCCCCCGGAAAATGTACAAACAAATCTCGATGAACGCTTTAACGCGAGCATCCTACTTCGAACGCACCGGCCGGCCGGCGTACTAAAGTAACACGCCCGCCGGCACCCACGTGATTTAAACGCACGTGCATAATTTAAATTTAGGTTGTCAGTTTGGTCTGTTAATTTTGGGGAGTTCATGTACCTACGGTGGGCAATATTGAGATGTATTGTGAACATGATATTACAGCGGTATTGTATTATTTATATTCAATGATGACTTAGACATTCGCGAGGAGGAAAGCCACCCCGGAAGTATTGAAAACTTAAAGAGGTCACTGTCTTCTTGTAAAATACTCAGCTAAGTGATGGAATGTCGCGTCATGTAAATTGTTTTCACGGATTAAGTCATAGTCCCTGTGGACGCGTAGATCACACCCATGCCATACTATGTCGCAATACATTGGATTTCCAGAGAAATAAGTGGTGCACTCGCATCAGTTTGGCGGCAAAACCCCTGCGTTATCAAACCCGTTCCTCTGATTGGTTGAAACTGCCGCCCGGAAACTGAATATTCTATCCTTCGCTGGGGTGGTTCATTGCCCAGTACTGACTGCATTACACGTTGAAGTGTTGATTGCTACATGAATTTAGACAATTTACGCATGTTTTGTCTTTCCTTCCAATGGTAATTAAACGGTTTATTATCTGTGCTTTTATTAGTCCCGTTAAAACTCGTTAATTACTGCAGTGTTTTATTTCGACTGAACATCAGTCGCACCACGACGCGACAACCTGATACAACTTAAAGCATTACGAATTTGCCAGTTTTCACACACTAAGTTCAACTATGTATGCACTGTAAACCGCATCAAAATGACAAAATTGAATCCGAAAAAGGTTAAAATTATTTTTTCTGAAGGCAAACAACGATATTGCAGCGTATACGAGAGGGATTCCCATCATTCTGAGTGACGTCACTGCGGGTTTAGCAGAATCAAAGAGAGGCTGGGGAACACCACTGTTTAGTCTCGACCAAGGTCGAAGAAAAATGTGTGAAAAAGTGTAAACATATTCCATCATTACACGAAATTATAAGACAAAATATAGGCAATGATGTGTAACATAACTTGAACGCATTGAAAAAATTAGACGCAAAAATAAACGTGACGCAGAAGCAACATCGCCAGGTTCGGTCACCCGGCCTCGTCCAAGCATCTTCACATTTTTTGCAAAAAACGCAAGAAAACACCTATTCAGAATGTGGTGCCAGGACCGGGCGTTTTCACTGATACTGTGGTGTATTATTTTAAATAAGAAATATATGAGGTTCGTTTCTATAATTTGCGGACATCGCGTTCGCAGGGCCGAGCGCTGTGCATTGCGGGACAAATGAAAGAGCGTGTATTTTTAACTCGCAAGTACGCCCAAGTACGACATGACCCCGACATAAATCACAGAGGTTCAGAAAAACAAGCAAACTGATCAGATTCATATACAATTGGCGAGTTATGTAAAAGATGTCGACACAAAATGGGAACACAATCATTTTCAGTTCCATTTTCAGAATGACTGATCACGTCCCTGGCATCCCAATTCATCGTAGTTGGCTTGCCCAAGGCTGGTGAGTCACTGACAATCACTGGCCTATACGTAGTACATGTTTTACCTTCTTAATCAACATATACTGGTTAGCTTGCGATACGGTAAGTCCTAGATCTGGGCTATATATCTTGAAAATTGGAAGTACTCACCGAAGGTAGTTCTGCCATGCCGACTGGAATGACCACCATGTTGATCCAATTCTTGTATCGATATACGAGGATATCCATACCGTACGCCGTAGTTAGTAGTCCTACTTTGTAATCGAATTTCTCGATTTTACAATTTAAAGGGCATGAAGACGACGTCATCATCACAAATCGATTGTTTGACGAATTTCAAGTTCGTGGGACAAACCACTGAACCAATATGAAGGGTTTAGGTTACTGTTCCATGTTGGTACCGATCCTACGTACGTGGCGTCGACATTGGCGTTAATCACGATGCGGACTGCAATGGATGCCGCCATGTCCTATTTAAATTGTGATCGACTACTAAGCTGCTGGAGTTGATATCGTTACGTAATGACTGAAAAAACATCGAAACTTGTGGCGGCCAACCAGTATCCGTCAGCGTATCCAAACATTACGTCATTAAATTGTTTTTGAAATGACCAACTGTTACATAACAAATATAACTGTTTTTAATCTGTTTTTTATGTGAATATCTCTGCCCGTAACTCGTTTTTTTGAATAAACTAAAATTACACAAAAATAATCAACAGAATTAACACATCATAGTTGTAAATACGCAAACTACACAGTTGTCGCGTGTCGTCGATGTTCTATAGTATTAGTAACTGACTGGCAGATAGGATTATCCAGACAAATATAGTCACGGAACATAACAATTGTTGAGGATAGACCGGATATGATCGATACACTGGTAGAAAACTTGCAATACTTTCGTAAACATATTTTTGATGTCACCGTGACCTTAGCTGCACCACAACACTTTTTTAGACACACGATTCAATCATTTGCTCCACAGTCTAGTTGAGTTTTCTACTTTAGTCGTTTTTCAAGTTAAATAGAACAGAAGTGCACGAAAGGTCGGACAGAAGAATGCGTATAAACTCAATTTATGAAAAGAAAAAAATCTGACAGGGACTGGCGCCTCATGGCGAGTCTCCGGGGTGGGCCTGCTCGGTGACACCAAGATTCCGAAAGCACCGTGGCGAATATTGTTCATGCCATGATTCCAGGGCGTTTTAGTTGTGGTTTATATAATCCATGCTCGATGTGCAAATGTTGCCCGATCAGAAGAGAAATACTGCTGCTGAAATGGATAAAAACAAAATTGAAAAGCATTGTATATCGAATGAAAGTTGTAGTAAAAAATAATGTCAACATCAGTTTGACCTAGTTGACGCAAATCCGCTTATCTCTCTGCTATTCATATTATATATCATGGAAATGACTGAATTCATATTGCTGGTGTATTTTTTTCGTAGTTATGTTGTAGAAACCTAAATAATCCGATTGTTAATAAGAGAAAACAATCAATTTGAAAACCACCTCTCGGTATTGATCGTGCCCTTTAACCTCGCGATCGACGGTAAACAAAAGAAACAGATATACGCCACTGATGTCATGCTAGTTACAGGGCCACATCGCCGCCGTCGAAGAAGACAAGATGGCGCGTTACCGATTTCCAGGTCGACCCGGTCACAAATTTGGCCGATCAGGAGCCGTTTTCTCTGTTGAAGATGCCCAAAATTTCAAGGATCCGACCTCTGTTTATGCAAGTGGTATTCTGCGCGGTCTGAAGAAATTTCGTGACCTTGTTGGTGACTCAGATGACGTGAGTTGTAACCCTATTTTTCTTTCCAAATACCGACATACAAGCTGCCATGTTGTCCTTTCTTTGGGTTTTTAAAATACCAAAATTAAATCCACCCTTTAGCTAAAACCTGATCACTCCACCCTCTTAAGATCCCCAAATAACTAATTTTCACTAAATAGTCGATTTTGTGATTTTATGTTAGCGTTGTTAAGCGTGGTAGCGCTCCGAAAAATTGTATTTTTTCCGAGTTGCTGGGCGAACGAGTTCAGGCAACATCCGATCCAAAATGTGCTTGGGTTTGTGGGTGGGTCGAAAATAATTCACAAAACAGAGCACAATCTGTGCATTGCCATTGTCTGAGGAATCGCACACTGGGTTGCGTTTCTGTATGATTTTCGTATTTTTCCAGTCTCATTGCGATTGGTATCGACTTGTCGCGTGAGGGAAGGCGGGAATTATAGAGCAAATGTGATCTAATTTTGGGGGTTGTTCTTGCATCACACGCAAGTGCAGTTCGTCGATGTGTGTACGAAACTAAACGTGTCATACATATGCTGTTTGGGCTTATATTAATTGACGTGCCACGACAAACACATCGCACGAATTTAAGCGAATAAATCAGAACTGCAACGTAAATTTATTACTAACTAAAATTGGAATAACTTAATTATTATCAGTCCACAAGTGGTTTCCATTTTCACGTAAATGGCCTTGGCAGGGACACGAGCATGTCACTTTATTGTAATATTGTGGATGAGTTCTTTACCACCTAAAATACAGTAACACATAATTTTTTTTTAAATTGACAGTTTGACAGAATTGATTGTGTTGTTTACGCTGGAAGCTGATAATAGCAACTGGTTTTATTGCCCAGCAAGTGTTTAAAGTGTTGTATAATTTAGTAATTAATTTTTAAATCAATTAAATTAAATTCTAAATTTTTCAACTTGCAGTAACTTCACAAATTATATTTTTGATGCGTTATTAAAGTCGGTTTTCTCATTGTGAAAATAACATGCAATTGAGTTTTATTTTTGGTATTGTTTATCTAAGGGATTTGGTGTTTGAAAACCCTGAATAATCCTTTGGTTTGTCTAATAGTCAGACCAAATATAGAATGTCAGCGCTTCTAATCGTCGAAAAGAAAAACAAAACTGATAAGTCGGCACTCTTTGCGTATTCCTCGTGATCAATACGTCATGTGCATAATAGGCATGTTTCTCAAAATAGCTAATCGTGTTTTTTTTTTAGTCACATGGTACAATCACAGTTGCCATGAAATGTGTTCTCGGTTTGAGTGTGCTCAAACTTGCCGACATGTGTCAAAAAGCTTCAGTAACTTCATGACATGTTTTGTACAATGTTTTGTGCTGTTGTCAGAACCTGACAGTGTTGGTGTTTTTAGTCTGCATTGTCTGTCCAATTGGGTGACCAGACTGCTGATAATAACCATGACGATTACACTCCAAAAAAAATGTATCTACCCAAACAATTGTCTGCGGTAATACGCCTTGTGTGTGGGACCCTGTAAGGTCACACATCCAAGTAATTTTGTGGGTACAAGTTCATTTCCAATAATATTTTCTTGATTGTTTCTGCCCATAAAATACAAGCAGTTGCATGTTGTCCAAAACAGTGCCGAAGTAAATTTTTGTCACATTCACAACTTTTAATACTATATAATATTTTTGTAATTTTTCTACAATTTTGATTGAGGCTCGTGGCGTTTAGGAAATTACTTGCATCCGGTCCAAAATTATGAAAAAACATTTTAGAGAAAAAACATGAAAAATCATGGCGCTCAAGAGTCAACTTAATATTGGAAGGTATTACTGTTAATAGGACAAAAGCCAAGAAAGTGAGTATTGTGGAATACTTTATTTTTGCTGGAATTAATTTTCGCTGAAAAGGCTTTTTGAGCGTTTTGTATGAAATTTATTTTCACTGATTTTTGATGAGTTTAATGTGAAATATAGGAAAAAAAGTATATTCGCTGGATTTTATTTTCACGGAATCATCCCTTCAGTGAAAATAGTGAAAATAAATTCCAAGTGAAAATAAAGTATTCTACAGTATATCAGTGCTCCATGAGATGTACTGCTAGCGAGGTAGTCTTACTAATTTAATTTGCATATAATTAAAATAACACCTGATCATTTGCCTGCCTAAAAAATCTGAGGAAAGGTAGGGGAGGGCGCTGTAAGTTGGTAACTTGGACTCTGACCAAAACCTTCTTGTAAACAAATTCGAGTAGGTATGTAGCGAGGAAAACTGGCCGCCGTCTAAAGAATGCAGTTTCAACGTTATGGTACATGCATGTGTTCGATGGCAAACTATGATCGGTAAATCGCTTGAACTAATTTCCTCTATTTCCGCTGAAGAAATGATTCAGTGAAAATAAAATCTAGCGAATATACCCTTTTTCCTATATTTTACATTCAACTCGTCAAAAATCAGTGAAAATAAATTCTATACAAAACACCCAAAAACTCTTTTCAGCGAAAATTAATTCCAGCTAAAATAAAATATTTTACGGTATTTTGAGAAATGAGGGAAAGTTTGTATTTGTTTTTACTTCAGGCGTAGTAAAAATGCTTAGCTCATTACAGAAGTGTGCTTGTAGCTGGATTTCATCTCTTGCTAATCACCGACAGTTATATGCTTTTGAGTGACAGCTGTGATGGATGCATGTTAAATCTAAAACTGTATCACAAATAAACATGAGGCAATCCTACGTCAGTGTTGATATAGGCATGTGTGGACAGACGGGGGAGTGAAATCTTCGTTTGCTAATATTTTCTTTTTCATAGTTACTTGCCAGTGATTACAATTTGTAACAAATTTAAATGCTTTATCGTAACCTTATTAAATAATGTTTTTTTTTTCTTTAATTTACTTTTCTGTCAGCCTTGACATGATATTTTTATCGAAATATTTCATCAGGAAATCTTGGTTGCTGCAGGTGAAAATGACATGATTTGTTGTTGCTGAGTCACAGCAATGATTCAGGAAGTCTCATCGTATCATAATCATTCTGGGGTCAATTAGCGAGAAGGATTGAATAATCCGTTATTTAAATAAATTAAATATCACAACGGATATTGTGAAATTGTGTTTACCAGTAAAATAACATCAATTTAGACTCAAACTACTGTAAAATCTGTATTAGAAGCTGCAGCTTCTATTAAAATGGTACAATTCAACCGAGGGGATGCGGCTTCTATGAGAGCATCTACACATATGAGAAACAGTGAATTTTTATTCTCAAAAATGAGTATCCCTACGTATGAAGAATTTATGCTTTGTTGGTACTGAATTAGTGTATCAATGTCCTTTTTATTAATTGGTACTTGCACACAAATGAACAGTGACATTTATTGATCTTCATGTTTCACCTTTCGTTCTCACCACTCGATGGAGCACCCATTTATTACCTGTGGAATGTTAGCTTTTAAGAATTGGTAGCTGGATTTTCAGAAGTGTTTTTGTAATAATTTTTGTAATAATCTGTTCGCGATCAAATTGAATTGAACCCATCAGATTGTATTGAACTGTTGTCAACAATATTGCTGCTATTTATAGTTTCACGAGTACGCTGTGATCAGACATGCGTATAGTGCTACTTCACTTGTATTTAGTTGCGTGTAAGTGATTTATTACTGCTCTCTGCATTCTATTTCAACTATTAATTTTATAAATATAAGTACATTGCTTTATATTTGTTTTTTTGTGAGCACTGAGTATATATTCACTTTGTTAATGATTTGTAATATTTAAATGACATTAATCGCCTGTTGCACTATTTGAATACATTTATTGTTCTTGTATATGTGTACTCACGTTGCAGCAATTTGCGTCTATTGGCATGACTGATTTGGACATATGTGCTACCGTGCATATCAATTAGCGATATGCAATTTACAAAATGATGAAATTTCGCATGAAAAATTTTATTAATATTAAATTGCAATCTCTCCAAATGTGATTTAATGTTTATGTGAATTGATAATAACTCTCTTGAAAAATATCTGACATTTAAAACTTAAAACTTTGCAGTCGGTCGGGTCGGATGTGTCGGTGAAATTCACACGTTGAGATGCAAATTATCAATATTTGCTGAAATCTTTGTTTCGGATTCTAGTTTACAGTATGCTACATTGCTATTGTATTGTTACACCCCAGTGCTCCGTTTCTGTGGTTAGTTCTGAACTATTATTAATGTTAAACTATGATTGTGCCCCAGGCCGTGCTTGATGTGCTCCATTTATTTATAAGGATTCGTGCAATGTAACTTACAAAGAAATGCTTAACAAGCTGTATAATAATTAGGTTACAAAAAAAGATAAAAATTTGATATATAAACTTGTAGCAAAGAAAAAAATATATTGATTTATTCATTTAATACTGGTAGTCATTGGATTAAAGATGCATATTTTCCACTCACGCAATCATTTCCCGGGCTTCGGATTTTTTTCACAGACTCTGAAATCCAATCATTTACATGTGTTGAAAGGAATATGCAAGTTGTCCCACGAAAACTGATACTGGATTTTTTTTACATGGACTGATAATAGGAAATGTGAAACAGGACTGACTGCTTTATTTTCTCATACAAAAGAATTTCTTATAATTTGTTTTCCCACTGCCGGCCGAGTGTGCAACCAACCATGGGAGTCAAACCCATAATCCCTCTGATATTTGGTGGACACACTAGTTTCTATGCCGAATATCTGATATTTTGGAATTTCCACACTTCAAATGTGACTTGAGGTGAAGTGAGTTAAAAAACTTTGGAATTGTGTAACAAAGAATGTGTTACTTTCATTACTGGCAGTCCTGTCATAGCAAACAATCTTATTTACTGTGATTTTTTTTCCTATTTTTTTGGAATGTTTTTGATTTGTCAGCTGTGCTGTGGAAATTGATCACATCCTATGAAACATTTTAAGTCAAGGTCTAGAAAAAAAATAATTATGTTTCTAATAATCGCTACCAATCCAAACTTTTGGTATAACTTT